GGCCGGGAGCGCCGGGATGGTCCCGGCCTGGAGCCGCTGGAAGGGCCGGGATGGTCCCGGCCTGGAGCGGCTGGAAGGGCCGGGAGCGCCGGGATGGTCCCGGTCGGGAGTGCAGCCGGCCGCCCGTACACCCCCGGGATGGAAAAGTACCGTGCGCGCTGCCGCTACACGGCGGCTCCGCACACCAGGGAGAGGAGCCCGCGCCGCGCCCCTGCCTCCCGTGCACCGACTGTGCCTTAAGGTACGCAATAGCACCCCKTAACTGCTCGCTGTAATTAGGGACATCAGTTACATCCCGGCAAGGCCGCGAAGGAAGCACTGCGGGGCTGACCCAGGGAAGCACCGCAGCGCCAGAGGAGTGAAGTTAACATAGAACTAATCACCGTCTCCGATGTAGGTCACCGCCTTCCAGCTACAGTGCTGCAGCAGATTATTGCCTGCATAAGCTTAGGGAAATACAATTCTSCTGCTTCTGCAGAAGCATCTCCATTTGCAGGATTTCACTGTTGGATGCAGTTCTGGAAGGCACAGAGCTTTCTACCCCCAGCCACACAGTAACCATTCCTTTTTCCCTCAGCGAAAGAAAACTTCCCTTACCACACCAGGCAGGGATTTGCTGTAAGAAATGGACTGGCAGAGTGGAGGACGGCGCAAGGTGTGCCGAGAACTCCCTGTGACCTGCTCCTGAGGATTCTACTGCCTGGCACAAGCTAAAGGCTGCTGCAGTAGAGCCCCTGCTTTCATGGACATCTGTACACAGAGCTTTCACAAGCTGAAGGACTATGAGGGGCTGGGCCCTAACATGAAATGTAGCATGCAATTTCAACATCCCTTCAGCTTATCATGCCCTCCTCCATGACACACACCCTTTCCCTCTATGAAGACTGACATTGAGTTGAACTGGCCTTAAACAGCATCAGCCTTTTATCTGCCCTACTGAAGACAACTTCAGCACAAAATGCAGCAAGTTCAGGTCAGAAGAACGTAATTTTACAGGATAAAGGCCCATGTTTTTTCACTGCTACTAAGTGCAGAATTCTCAGGCTGTATTTTAACATGCTCCAAGATCCAGAGGGAGCATTGTCAGTTCCAAGAGCATGTAACAACTTGAGGTGCACAGTGGAGACCATGTATTAACCAGTTAATGGAAACGAGACRAATCAATCTTGACATAACATTTATTGAGTATTTCCACTCTAGTAGATGAAAAGTCTGTACAAAACCAAACATTTCCTTTACTTAAACCAATCTACAAACAGTCAGCTCAATTAAAACCCACTACAAACACAATAGCTTCTTTGAAGCCATGGTAACACTTAAATATGGTTAAGACTTCAATGCAGAAATTTGGTGTGTTAGAAAGCTCAAGGGAGCTTTAGCTTCTTAAAGTTAAAAAAAGGCAAAATTGTGTTTCACAGATACAGTCCACTGGAATCACCAACACTGGACAAATTAAGTACTTCAAGTCCTGAGATAACAAGGAATCCTGGTATCCTTTAGACAGTCTTCTGTTGTCCTTTCTTGCCAATGAGAGACTTGTGGATATGTGGTATTACACCTAAGAAAGAACAACAGTTAAGACCATGCTATTTCTCTTCAACCATTTTCCTAAACTTCATACTTCAAATAATAACAGCACTAAGGAACTCGGAGTCTTTGACAGCTCACACCACCCAAGTACCCACAAAGAGCAAGCAGTTGACATACCACCACCAGCAATTGTTGCCTTGATCAGAGAATCCAGCTCCTCATCTCCTCTAATGGCAAGCTGCAAGTGACGGGGAGTGATACGTTTCACCTTCAAGTCTTTGGATGCATTTCCTGCCAGCTCAAGGACCTGAGACAAAACCATTTAAAAACTGTTACACAATTGAGACCAACTGCAGTCTTAGCTGTTTGCTTCTCTGTTCCAAATGCAGTGACACTGTCAAGTGACACCAAGACAGCAAACAATTYCTCTTTTAAAAGGGCTCCTCCTTTGTAGCTCTGCATTTACTTTTCAATAACGGTGTTTTGCAGCAGATATGACATACTGTAATGGCCCATTTTAGAAGTTATTTCACACACTGCATTCTGCATACAAATCACAGTGTAGGATTTTAACAAAATGCACGGGATTTGTATTTCAGTATCTTCTGATAATGCATGCACTTAGAACTATCTCAAAGCAAATGAAGAATAGCAAACTGGAAAATACAGTAAGCATTTTGGAACTGACCAACTTGCTTACAGCCCTTGCAGTTTTACCTCAGCTGTCAGGTACTCCAGGATTGCAGCACTATACACAGCAGCTGTAGCTCCTACACGCCCATGGCTGGTTGTCCTAGACTTCAGGTGCCTGTGGATGCGGCCAACGGGGAACTGAAAAATAACAGAAGTATAAACAGGATGYGACAACATAAAACCTCTGCACAAAACCACAGCCTGGCCAGCAGAATCAGAAACTGCATTTCAAAATCTGACAATCCGGTTAGCACCCAGTTACGATGCTGCATGCCACACTCACATCAGCAACTTCACAATTCTCCACACAAGCACAAGTAGCAATGGCCACAATGAAATTATTTCTGCTCCAGCACAGATACGCAAAAAGTCTAAAACCATCAGGTGTGCTGATGTCTGGTTTACAGTTCTTACATCATTTCAGACAACAGRCAGAGAGCAGGGTGTGAAGGTTTCACACTGCACAAACAAAGCAACAGATGGAAGGCTAGCCTCCCATTCACTCACCCACGCCCCAGCCCCCTCTCACCTGCAAGCCAGCCCGTTGGGAACGGGACACTGCTTTGGTCTTGGTCTTCCCAGAGTCCTTCCCAGCTTTCCCGCCAGCCTAGCAATGCCAAAAAGAGCAAGAGCTGACGT